ACTACCTAAGGTCCCTTCTAATAGTGTATTAGCTATAGCGCTTTAAATAGATATATAACGATATGGATAGTATGTTTACCGATTAAATCGATAAACGGAACCTAATAAAGATAATAGTGCGGCTAGTATACTCGAAAACCCTTACCGACGCCTCTAGTATCCGATAATTCTCGTATATAGACCGATAATACTTAGCTAAGAGATACCTACACCCCGAATAGAAACATAGCGTCGATATTAGTAATGCTACTAAATTCGAGACCGACAAGGAGTATATCGTTAGAGTATAGTCGATTCCCGTTAATAGAACCGCTACCACCGAATTTCCGTCGCGATACGCGAAGAACCATATAATCTATAGTACTATCTAGAGTATAGAACCCTAATATCTTAAATCTTTTAAGGGATATATAGTTATAAGAGTAAAGAGGGCGAAATAATTTGGTACTAAAAATACTTAAACTCGCGAAGTAGCATTCCTCGGTATATTAATAGTAGACGAGTTCTATTCTATAAAGAACCCCGATATAAAATAGTATAAATATATAATATATAATACCCTTATATTTAGTATATGGGTTAGTATAACGCCCCTCTCGAATAGTCTAGTAGATATTCTAGCGGCTATCGAGGTAGATACTCCGGATAAGTTACCCGACTACGTTAACGATAATACTACTAAAAGAGTATTCGAGAGCCTATAGAATAAAACTATAAGAAAGATTATTATAACGTAGTCGAATAAACTTCTTAGTTTAATAAAAGGTAAGCCGGCGGACATGATGGCCGCGATAGTCCGTAGGGCATTAGAAACTATAGAAGGTAAGCGTATACTACGTATAGTAGCCGATTAGTATTTACTATTCATTCTATAACGGGGACTACTAACTAAATGGTTTAATAGAGAGGCATGTCTATCTACGATATTAAAGCTAGTAGTAGAGTTTATATCCGTCCCGGCTATAGAACTAGAGAAGATAATTATATAGTTATACGAGAATAGAGGTAGATAGTTTAATAATCTATAGCCTAACGGAACGCCGCGGGACTCGTAGATATAATCTACCGCCTAGAGTAAATCGAAAGGGGGTACTAGGTCTAGGCTTAACGCATACTACCATTAGGCTAGGCTAGCTACTACGTGTATACTACTTATATACCTTACTAATAAAAAGATAGAAGATAAGTAAATTAATATCACGCTCACGCGTCGGAGGGATAGTAATAATAGTATACCGAGTAAGATAATTACTAATCCTATACGCGAAGTACTTCTATAGCTAGATAAGGCTATACGAAAGAAGATAGTATCGCTAGCTAATAAACACGCTTTAAAGGTAAACTAGATCTATAACTTCATTAATAATAATATTTATAATAAAAGTACTAGACGCGCGCGACGAACATCCGCTAACCGCCTAGAGAAAATTATACTCGCATATACTATACCGGTAAGCTTAATGTTCCTATACTTAGTAAGTGTTTATACTACCTACTAGTAACGTAATTTACTAATATATATAGGTACTACGTCCATATATATAAGCGAAAATATTAGTATATTTACTAGCCGGCCTAAGTACGTCCGAATTAAATAAGGTATATAGATTATTTAGATCGACTAAGTCGGATTCTCCGTGTATTCTACTAGTATTAGCTTCGTAGGTCTACGAAGGATAAGATCTAATAGTTACTAGTTTTATAGTATTAGTAGACTAATGCTTACGTAAGGAGACGTGGCCGTAGGCAAGTATAAGATATTATCGCCATGGATAATATCGGCCTATAGTATATGCATATACTTTAATTTTAGACTATTTAGAGGTCGAGGCTAGACTTACCGCGTTAGGCAAGGTAATCGAAAGCACGAGAATATAAGCCTTAGACCTAGAAAAAGGAGATGCAGCTACGGTAGAGATAGCTATATCTAATATACTAGTAATAGGCGTACGCTTTAATCCTATAGAGATATAGTAGTATAGAAGTAAGTAAGGTAGTCGGTTAATTAGCTTCTAAGAGACTAGATAGTATAGTAGTATAAATACGAACCACTATTTACTCGTAATTATATATCTATATATATCTATACGTGAAGAGAAATAAGATATTTATTCTATACCGTTATATAGTAGAACGTTACTATATATGCCGGCATATAACGGAATATTCCGACATACGCCGGTATATTATAGGATATTTCTAGATACTCGAAGTATAGTCGTAGTATAAAGTAGTATTACTATTATATACCGGCATATAGTAGGACGTTACTATATATACCGGTATATAATAGGATTATGTTCCGACATACTATACGCCGCTAGTATATTATAGAATATTCCTAGATACTTAAAGTATAGTCGTAATATAAAGTAGTATCGCTATACTATACTAGTATTTAGTAGGACGTTACTATATATACCGGCATATAACGGGATTAAACGTTTTCTTAACGTTCGATAGAACGATTCTAAAAGAACCGGGACGGCTCTAGGAGAACTAGGACGACTCCGGGAGGACTAGGACGACTCTAGAAGGATTAGGATAACTCTAGAAGTACCGGGACGACTCTAGGAGGATTAGGATAACTCTAGAAGTACCGGGACCCATTTGGGATAACTTTAGAAGTACCGGGAGACCTAGAAGCATTGGGAGCGCCGTATCTTTCCTAATGGACGGGTCTATATAATACTCTTAATTAATTCTTTAATAGTTAAGCCTAATAATTAATATCTATAGAAGCCTATAAACATAAGGAAAAGTCGAATAGTCGAATATTAGTGATAGGGAAGCGTCCCGAGTAGAATAACCAAGGAAAACGCCCTCCTTAAATATACAATGAAGCCATGTAATCGAGCTAGGGACATATACATGTAGGGCTGTAGGAGCGGCCTTCCACACTATACAATCTTAATCTAGGCCCTCGGTTTGTATCCAATTCTATATGCCGAAGTCTAACACGGGCTAGTGGAGGCATGGCATGTTAGCGTCTTTAGCGGTCTTCGCATTAATTAACTAGCTTACTTATACTCATCTAAGCAAGGTATTCCTTGACGTGTATACCTGATCTAAGAACGTTGTCGGGCATAGGACGCCGGGTTGCGATTTCCGTCTCACAGGCGCTAGCATCAAAGATATATATCTCCTTAGTTCCGGCCTTAGTAATAATATTACATTCCTATAAGTCGTGTTACTTAGATATTAGCATGTAAAGAGGCTTCTCGGAGGGCAACGTACCGCCATGAATCAAAGATAGCTTGACTTCACGCCCGCCAGATTCCAAAGGACCTAACACGGCTAGTATAACACGTACTATAACTTCCTCTACTAATTAGCTATCTAATATCCTTTCTCGTACCATGCGCTTGTTCGTCCATAAGTAGACTACCACGAAGTAGTTAAACGAAAAAGCTTACCTAACTTGGTTTCCATGTTTTATCTAGCTAAACGTTGCCCCTCGATGGCTTAACATGAAATCCAAACATATTTATGGGAGATATATTAGAGTTGTGCAGAGCAACAAGCTTTTCGCAACGTTTTGTTGGGTCTGGTTCTTGATCTACTGCTGTTATAAAGTCGCAAAGAAGAAAATTTGTCTCCGGTTCAGTCGAACTAAGCTTGCCCTAAGGGTGCGGTTTTAGAATAAGTTTTAGGGTACCTTTTGTACAACTCGTTCATGAACTCGAATTCTCCCTCTAGCATTGCTCGACCGCGATCATTTTTAGCGCACCTATTTTGGTAAGTAGTCTTTGTAGTCGATATGTCATTGAACATGCCGTTTAAGAAGAGCGACTTCGTTCCGTAATCTATTTTCGTAGCTGTAGTCTATTCTAAATCTACAAGGCCATGGTAGGACTAGAAAGTTACTCCGGAGGGCAATTCTAAACATGTTAGTGGCTAGCCCATGAATTTGTACTTTTAAGCTTACTAGCAATCATAGCTTGATCGAGAGGGAAGTCGCCCTAAGTGTTCTCACTGTTTGCGGTGGGTGCAGCCATGTCTACCATATTGGCGAGCCCTGCATAAAGGGTTGCAATGAACTTAAACTACTCTAGTCCACTTTTCAGTCTCTTTCTTATTACGATGGCTTTCTATCAAGTAGCTTTCTTCTGTAAATAATAGATGATAGTAGTGTGGCTGTAAATGTACACGACTGAAAGAGCTTTGCGAAATTTGCTTGCGCAGGCGGTTTTCCAATGTAAAAACAGTTGTGTAAGAGCGCATTAGCACTAGAAACATCCATAGACTCGCTCTTCGTAGGGTAGAAATGGATGATATCTCTTAGTCAGTGCGAACTGTGCGCTCGTTCCACGACTGTACATGTCCCCGACCGCAGCCACTCCCAGTCTATGGAAATATAGACGAAATGATTAGTAAGTATTAATATATAGTTTATTCAGCCTCTTATCATGTAACAAAATTAGTTTAAACCTAGGCTAATAAAAATATTAATTCTTCTCTATCTCTCATACTTCGCCCTGAAACACGAGCGAATTACCTCGAATAGTAAACTAGTTCTGGATTTCTTTTTGGATCTCTCATTACCTGATAGCAATAGGTAAGGAGATATAGTGAAGGCGATTTGCTCTCATTCATGATGTAATGAATGTATATAACGAGCCCCAAACTTTGGACCTATACGATGTGACGTCTGCCACTCGATGGCTACAAGCCATGAAGCAGTCCCCGATATCACGGACGGAGTACCTGGAAGATCAAAGAAGCGAAGACGCCTAGCAAAGACATGAATTGTCGACAGTCTCTTATTCCAATGGTGTTAGATCCATCTGAGATTTCGACTGTTCAGAAACGGCGTTTGGGTATGGAAATGGCCGCCGCTCCTTGGTACATCCACGAAACCCACTCACAAAATTCTGGACGGGAACAAGGTACTAGATCAGGTTGTAGAAGCGCCATACGTCCTTGCACGGGACAGGCTTTTTTAAACAGACATTATCATATCATGTTCACCCTGCGTACAGAATGGTGAGAGACTGAAATCAGTGAAACCCCTTATTACAATCATCCATGTATCGTGTATCTTTCACCACTGCTCGCACGCCCTTGGAGTCAAGCCGCGGCTGCGCTGTCATGTACTCGTGCAGGAATATCACATCTCGGGCGTCAGTCTGGTATAGATCGAGGTTGTAAGTTGAGACCTTAGCTATCGTCTTGTACATGATCATGTGAGCTAGGTTGACCCCGAGGCATCTTCGAGCGCCTTTCCCAAAAGACATCATGAATTTACGTCTTTCGTTCGCCACTCCATCGAGCCAGCGCTCCGGCCTAAACGTCCACGGGTCCGGGTAAAGTTCCTCGTTACAATTTACAAACATGCTCATTGTGGACATAGGAGTGCCTGCTGGAATGACATACTCTCCGTACTTGAGATCCTCGTGCGGGGCATTCCTGGAGTTCCGACCGGTCAGACCAAAGTTCAAGCGGTTTCCCTCTGCTATAACAGCAGTTAGGTACGGTAGACGTTCCAGGTCATTCCATGACGCATCTATAGCAACAAGGCGTAGCTCAGCTCGAAGCTTGCGCAAAACATCTGGATTGTCCAAAAGATGATAATGGATAATGAACAACGACTTGTGCAAAGATTCAGATCCAGCAGTCACGATGAGAATGGCCTCGTTGAGGAGCCGTGTAGCAGTCTTGTCCCCCGCTGGGAGAAGATTAGAGTCACGTAGCTCATGGAAGAGTGTCGGAATCGCGTGCCCATCAGACCTATTAGCTGTCGTCTTGTTTTGTTCATCGAGAACGAGCAAAATGAGTCCGAAGAGCTTCTTCGCAAATGATTGAAACTCGTAGAGTCCCGGGCTGGCGAACTTTAGCATAGCGGCGGGTAGTTTGCGCAACGTGCGATTGATCCACCCGAAATGGACGTTGATGTGAGAATGCATCATGAAAGTTGTCAGCTGGTTACGCGCTTGCTTCGCTCTTCCCATGTCGCTAATAAGTTCTTCGTCGTGTCCAAAGCAGTAATTCTTCACAATGTCCTGTGTAAAGCCAAAATAGAGATCGCAGAGATTGATCGGTCTTCCTTCAAATTTGTACACATCAAACACATCGTGAAGACTGTAAAGCTTCTGTTTGATGACCCTCTCGATCTTACTCACAGCGGGCTTACTGAAGAAAGGGACTAACGACGCTCTTCGCCTTCGGTGAAGCTCATGATCAGCGGAGTCGCCGACAGACTGCGCGACGTCGAGGGTTTTAACGCGCCAGGGGTCCTTGTTCCGTGCCTTCGACGAGGAGTAGATAGTGTCAAGAAATTCTAGATCTACAATATGGACTTCGTGTGGAGAGACTCTAATGATAGGTCCTATGGTTACGTTAGAGGAGGAGCAAGGGCATTAGTCACGGGTGGTATACCATAGATCTTGTGTAGGCGCTCAACTTCCCAAATAAACATTCCATCTTTCCAGATGTTGAAATAAATCTCATACCAGTACGTTGCCGCGAGCAGTTTTGGTCCGGGAATTCGTGAGAGAGGATGAAGGTACACTCGATACACGAACAAGCACAACGACCAGCACAGAAGCGGTACGATAAATAGCCATAGTGATATGGACAGATGGACATCAAATAACAGGTGGGTGAACGAAAGCATGACTGCAGGTCAAAGTGAGACAGAGGTAGTTCAGCATATTTAAAGGGCCATTATTGACCTAAATCTTTTGTTCCACCTTGACCCGGCCGGCAAACATTGGTGATTGGATGATCGGTTGGCGGCCAAAATGCTGATCCATCCTACGGCTGATGATCCACAATCACGCTTCACGCTATTCCTTACATCTCATGCTGTGCTCTTTCGACCATGGCCCTCTTGCTAGGGATATGTTTGACAGATATGCTATTAAGAAGGCATTTATGGCCACTACATTTCATGGAGCTTTAGAGTCATATGATTCATATTCAAAGATGGCTATAAACAGGAAATCAGCAGGTCAGACTGATTCTATCACTTCATCTAGTCAGAGCTCTCGACGTAATTCCCCTCGGCGGCAAGCGCCCAAGGTGCGAAAACTTAAGCAATACATACGTCAAGAAGGAATGTGAGCAGCTGGCATCCCCTTCAGTCCGATGCTTGCATCGTTCTGATGTGGTATACCCCAGCCGGTCTCAATATCTGTTTCCACAATGATGGTGTTCCCGGTATGGCTCTTATCCATTACGAATGACTCGTCCCGGCTATATTTCCGATTGCCTTCACTAGCCTCTCCGCGCGAACGAAGAGAAGTCGTGGAGAATGTGCTCCTAATGCTCTGAATTATCCTTCCTGCCGAAGCGTAGCGGATCAATGGTGACAAGGTCAGTAAGCTAGCTGCAATAAGGCCGACGCCCGTCTCTACGACCATCCAAGTTACAGCGATAGTGGCAATATCTAGAAATGGTTAGGATTAGATCGTTATAGGGCTGGACAAGACTCGCATTCACCGTCCGGGAACGACCAGTGTCCATTCCATACTATAACCCAGTTGACAAGTCGTACTAAGGAAGCGGCAGTAGCCCTAGTAGAATGAGTGAACATAGCACGGCGAATGGATCAGTGTAGCTCACAAGGACCCAATCATAAACACCCCAACAATCGAGAACTTCTGACGAGTTCGCATGTGAAGACCCCAGATCTGTCAGAATTAGATTAGATGACCGTGACAGCAATTCTGTGAGGATCCGCACCTTTGGAATTGGCATGACCAGTATGATCAGATCAGTCAAGAAGCTTGCTATGGATGCCGCAAAAGACAAATTGTCCGCCAGTGGACATTTTCTATTGATGTTAACCACGGTGTCCCATCGAGTCGCAACACCAGAGCTGCCGCAGGCAAAGATCTGGCTGAAGATGTAGGCTACGGTCCAAATCAAGACAATGGCGACCATGGTATACACTAAATAAGTGAACTTCGGTCTACTTCGCGTGCAAAAGAGTCTTTTGTAGAAGAATAGAATGCTAAGTTTGACGAGACTTGTTGATAGTGCATACAACGGATGCATAACAAACTGAATCTACGCCTGATTTAGCTGTTATCACGATGTACTGCATAGCGCTGCTCACCATCATGAAGTTTTTCTGCTCTGGAGACATAGAATACCTGAACCCTCCAGGGCCAGGTACATTGGGTGGAGGCGCAGGGTAGCCGAGTGAGTGTGAGAAAGTTCCTATCCTGCGTGAGCACGCTCACAGATATCTATTTTCAAACATGAATCTACTCACCCCATAATGCAATGCCAAAGACGCCATACGCGAAAATGAGTGCTGGCAAGATCAGCCAGTCTTCTAGGCCTGCCTTCGACTCGTGTGCTCGTCGTGACCAGAAACGGAGGCCGGTTGTGAGTGTTCCAATTGCTGCGAGGAGGAAACATACTGTCGTCAGCATATGTGCCTCATACGGTTGTTTATACATATTGAAGACACACGGTGAACATGAGAGGTTGAAGGTTGTGAACTGTGCCGCTGCTAGCGTGTGTCGAAAGAGCGTCTATTTGCTTCACAGACACCCAAAGCCAAGAAGAGGAGTGGCAGTAGAAGCCGTTTCCTCGTAATCTTTTCGGATGTGAACCAACGGTTTGGAAAATTTAGCGCGGGGATGGCGGTCTATCTTTGCCGGATGCGGCCAAGAGTCGTCTATCATGGCGCAGTGTATGGTGGTGCTATGGACACGCGAGATCGACAGGCTGATGCAGACGGTGGCCCAACTAAACAACTCACAAGTCGTATATTTTGCTGAGTATCGTTCTGTAGTGCAAACTCCGTTGAGCTCTTGATGCAATTTCAAAGAATATCACCATCGATCAAATAACTGTCGTCATGAAGTACTTCGCAGTACCACAATCCGATGAGACGTCCATAGCCCCGTCATCGCAGACTGAACAAAGACGCGGATGGCGACTCGACAGCTTCTGGTGGAAGTGTACCTCGCTATTACTGCTAAGCATCAATACAATACTCACTGTTCAAATCCTTCGCTCGCCACGATGCAGCCCAATAGACAGTTCTCTCGGACACCCCACAAGTTTTAGTAAGTATCATAGTCTCAGCACCGTTCCTGCAGCGTACTGATGCCGTGAAGCTGGGATACACGAAACGAGTAGAGAAGTGCGAAACTCCTGGTGGACACGCTACAGCGCCGAGAACGATGGCCAAAGACCCGCCGTTGACGAAGCTTGGAATGCATTACGTGCAGACCATGGCATCGTTGCATTGCCATATGAATGGTCAAAGAACAAGGGTTTGCCATCAAGTCTGATCCTTCCCTCCGACAGATCGAAGCGAGTTTATATCCTTGAGTCATACCATATGCTTCATTGCCTGGTAAGGGCAATACAATAGCATTCAGATGTCAGTATTAACGGTTGTTCAGCAATTGACCCGCAAGTCCATCTACCAGATGCGAGGCAACGAACCTCTGACGTACCACTTCGATCACGTAGAACATTGTATTGATGCGCTTCGGCAACATGTTATGTGTAATGCTGACGATACACTGCTGTACATACCTGGGAACGGCACTGCTGGGCATGGACAAACAAGACAGTGCAAGGATTGGAATTATTTGAGTAAGTGGGCTACCAAGAATACTGCTTGCTTCGAAGATAAAACGCCAACGTCTGGGGTGTTTGGGTCTTGCGATGACGGCTCAGATGGACTGGTTTTGGACTGAAAGTGGGATATTCGCGATGTAACTATCTTCCTAATAGGATCAAGTGTTCATTTGGAGCGACAATATAAGCCCTTATCCACATTGGATGCATCTATGACCGCTCTACTTTCCCAGCTACATCCGCTGTAGGACATACTTCTAGTTCCTTATGCTTGCGTGCTAGCAATCCTGCTGTGGCAAAGGATTCACCAAGCCCTGATCAAACATGGCCGCCCCTCCACATTATCACCAGTGCCTATGAAACGTAATTTTAGTAACGAGGGGCCAGGCCAGATGACGACAACACGCACATTTGGCTTCGTAGCCATCGAGCTCGCCTTCCGGACTCGTGGGAAGAGATGAGACTCCCATCGCAAGGGCAAGTAGAATTTGGTAGCAGATAGTGCTGAACTTCATGGTGATTGACTGTCAACTCGCTGTTGAATGCTGAGGTCGAAACAGTAGAGGTATATGGCTAATGAGCAACCAAGTGCAATGACAAACGGGTTGAAGGAATGGACGATTCAAGTTGTTAAGACGTGAACCAGGGAAGGGTCTTGGTCCCAACCGACTTGTCAGGCGGGTCCACTTGTCGGACACCTCTTTCGGACCGAATTTCGATTGCGGACACAGATCAATCGGCCCGAAAGCATTCCATAAACTAAGTAACCTTGAATTTGCAGATCGCCAGATCAAAGACTTGTGGACCTTATGCTCAGCGTCCAGCGTGAGAACAAAGAATTATAAAGGCCATCAGTAATGAGAGTTCGCATCGACTGACTTATGCTTGATTAGGTATATTAAAGAGACTACAAGAGAAATATGCAATCGTTCGTCCGGTCTTTGTACTGCCTTGGCCTGCTGAGCGTATAATACAAGCATGGCCGTACAAACGGGCTAAATGCCGAAGTGCCCACACCTCCTCAGCTTCACAGCGATCATAGCATCATAATTTAGGGACTCCCGGACACCTGCCAGTAACGAAAGCCCAACACATCGGATCCGTAAGCACGAATGCGGCGGAGGGTTTTGCCAAGCGACTACTCACAGCGATCTTTCATTCGGCGCTTCGCACTGACCCATCGCCAAACGGGCGGGCCGCACTGCGGTTGGCTTGTGGAGGGTCCTTGTGGCTGGACCTTGTGGCGCCGTCCTTATGGGAACAGGAGTGTCAGAGTAAACAAGGTCTCATACATGTATGGCTTCTATATCTTCCCAAAATCACGGCTATCTCGCTCAAGGAACGCTTTGCGAGATTACAGTTTCATCTCAGCCCGTAGTGCATTCTCCATTTGCCCAAGATGGTGATAACACGATGCGCACCCTGGATGAACAAACACGGTCCCGAGAGCCTCGAGTCGAGTTGGGCGTTATGGACACAACCCCTACAAGTTTCAAGCATGCGGTCCTCCTGCAATATCTTCAAGATATCACACTGCCTATTTGTAGGAGATAAGAGTATATCCCACGCAACAGTTCCCCAGTTCGGACCGAAATGCTGTTTCATGCAGCAGAAGCCGCATGCATGCAGACTTCCTATCAATCAGTTCAGTTCAACTTTGGGCATCTAGTTGAACTGGACTGAAGTACTTCAATCCTAGCCGTCGTAGAATTGGATTGAACTGTCAATCCTAGTAGTAGAATTGAAGTTGAACTGGACTGGACTGAAGAATATTAGTAAGATTAGCTAAAAGTCTTAAAGATAGAAAAAATTCATAGTATTTTGAGGCTATATATCTATATTACCTATATAGTAATTCTTAATATAAGTAAGTAATAGGCTAAAAGGAGACTATTTAGGTTATTAATATATAGCTATTAGTAGAGAGACTCTATGTGGTTTTTTATATATGAGAGTGATGGATAAGTCACGTGATAGTCACGTGATTATCACGTGGCTTCACTTATTCCATCACATGATGGCTCACGTGATATAGTCCATGATCGCTTACCTAGCAGGAGTCACATGCTTATCATGTAATCACGTCACATGACACATCACGTGACATTGAGTCACGTGACATCTTCCTCATGAATCTATGGGAACTTTGGTAAATTAGACGTGGCAAAATTGATTGACGTATCTACTAAGTCTATCTAAGTACTATATATACTAGCCTAACACTAAATAAGATCTAAGTAACGGGGATTACCTAATAGGAATCCTATATCTTCCCTCTTCTAATTATATAAGCTCCTATAAGACCGTTAAAGATAATTAACGGAGTTAGAATATATAATATAGGGAGGTAGGCGTGTGAAATCTCTTCGGCGCTAGGCCGTATTAGCGACACGTCGCGTAAGGGCGGTGGTCTAAGCTTATTTTAGTGCTAAATAGTCACCTTTACTATTCCTATATTCTACCGTTCTTTAACCTTACATTTCTTAACTAATTTAACCCTTTCCTTAGTTTTTCCAGCGCTAATTCCTTTTAATAATATCTAATAACATAGCTGAAACTCCTGCGAACTTAGAAATTACTCTAATTAATGCTATAATTTCATGTATATAAACTTTAACTTCACCTTTTTCCCTTCTAACTTAAACTTCCTATAGCGGACATGGTTATAAATAAGGATCTTTGTCGTGCTTTCTTAGGTCCTCCATATAGAAATCCTAACTGGTTATTACTTAATAAAGTATTAGCGGCGAATAAAGGTGCTCTAGATAGTAGGTTAAGTTACCTTATTCCTTAAGTATAGGTTAACTATATAGTTCGTAAGAGTTACTTAAAGATGGCCCACGGCTATCTATATCCGAACGGGCCTTAGGGTTCGCCATTCTTTTAAGAACTAGACCTAGAAGATAAAGCTTTAGCTTAGTTAATCGAAGAAGGCGGTTAGAGCCTTAAACCTAAGGTCTCTAAGGCTGAAGTTAAGGCTCCGGCCTCTTAAGGATCGGTAATAGCTATTAATAAGCCTCTTTCTAAGGTGGAAGGTGATTCGTTTAATATACCCTTCTATAAGAATCCTACTAACCTATATAGATCTTCTAGATAAAGTTACGGGTCCGGAGTCTACGTTAATTACCCTTAATAAGCCCTTTGAAGTCTCTACGAAAGCTAGTCGGTTCGCGAACCTATCGGAAGACTCTAATAATGTTTTCTATCCTAAAAATAAAGATAGGGAAAGCTCTAGGTTATTAGACCTCGATAGTAATACGTTAATCGAAGTTAACGAGCTCGGCGATGTGGTTACTCCTAAGGCAACTAAGAAAGGTAAGTTACTAAGTCTTATATTAAGATTCTAGTTCCTAATTCTTATCTAGGCTCTCGTCCTAGAATACCTAGGACTCTAGTAAAGACCTGTAGTGCCGTAAGGACTCTATTAAAGGTGTTTAACAGCCCTAAAACTCGCTCCATAACTTCTAAGCTGGCTATTATAGACCTTAAAAGTCCTAATAAGGTCGTTAAGAAGACTCCCGTGAAGCGAAAGGGGTCTATAGCTTCTCGTAAGGTTAGTGCGATAGCGTAACCTATAGTAAATAAACTTAATAGCTATAGCGATACCGAGATCGAAGTGGTAGATTGTATAGGCCTCCGAGTTCGATCTAATTACTACTTCTTTTTAGAGAAGTCTATCGAGTTTATATAGTAGTTGGCTTACTAGAGTAAGTCCTTATCTCGTTAATTATCTTTAATAGTTAGCTAACTTATTCTAGGGTGGCTGTTCTCGGACCCTCCTATCGACGGAACGCTCTATAAGGAATTTATTAATGGCCTTATTAAGGCGTACGCCAGTGGTTAGCACGCCTCGATTCCGAAGGATCTACTTCCATTCTATATAATAGATAAGTTCGGTAACTACTATTATCCTTAGGATATCGTAGTAGGAGGAGGGATCTTTCGGGATCCTTCGAAACGCCTAGATAGGTTGTATCCCTATACTATTCTAGCTATCCTAGGCATGATGGCTCGCGGCGCATACTAGTACTTTAGCGATAGCGCCTATAGTTCTTATTCTACTAGCAAAGGCATCTTTAGGGAGTGTATGCAGCTTTTTCCTAACGGGTTCCTACTATTTAAAGGTACCTGTTTAAACTATTTCTACTAAGGGAATAGGAAATTCTATAGCATGTCGCGTTATAAGTTATTCCTTTATATCGTTAAAGGCTTTTAATAGATTTAACGCGTTCCTATAGTATACCGTAGCGAGCGTAACGTTATTAAAAAGCGCTAATATACCGAGTAGTCTTCGTTTATAGAGATAACTAAGGCCACTAGAAAGTATTCGGCTGCTAAACTTCGTTAAAAGAAGTTATTAGGTCTTAAGGAGACTAGGTTAAACTCTAAGGCTGGTCCTTCGCTCGTGAGTTAGATTTATATCTCGTGTGATCTCTAGCTAATTAAAAGGTTACAGCTATAATAGAATGGATATATTACGGCGGTCCGGAGGTCCTCGTTCCTAGCTTTAATAATACTATACCTCCCGACCCGAGCATTATCCCTATTCATTCTATATAGGACCTTAAAGATGAAGGACTTCCGCTTAACGAAGCCGTTGAAGATTGGTTTAGTCGTCCGATAAACGCGTTTAGCGAGGTTAGCCGCACGCCTTAAGGGCTACTATATAAGTTCTTAATTAACGATAGCATGCCCGAGGAGGGCGAGAAGGTGTTAGTATAATTTACGAAGAATCCACTGAATTCTACTCGTAAGGTCTAGGACTAAGTAGGCGGCTTCTATTTTATAATGATACCCCATCTTATTAAGCGTTAAAAGGCGTTAACGGCTTTCTTTTATCTCTGTTTGGTCTTACGGTTCTTAAATAGCGATTTTAGACTTATATAATATCATTATAAGTCCACGTCTTCTTTCTTTAACCTCCTAGTAATTTCTAAGGCTCGTTAATCTTCTTTAATAGCCGTATATGTTCTAAATAAGTGAATGGGGGGTTAGTAGTACTATATATAAAGGAGATAATTAGGGAAAGACTAAAGTTAGTTATATTCTAAGCTTTCCTATAATAGCTTTAAAGGTAATATCTTTTTCCGTAGGGAGTACCTCTCTCCCTCTAATCTATTAACTCGTCTTAACGCGCTGGCTATAGCCGCTTAGGTTTCTCTACTATATTCATCTATATAGGATCGCTTTCTCTTTCGCGTGTAAGGT